TTCCAAATGGTTTCCTTGTTGTTTTTCCCGCCAGGCAATGCTCGCAAATAGGCAAATCAACTTTTTCAATATTGCCTAATAAGCCCTCTTTGGCTAATCTTTGCATTCGTTGTTGGCCAATATGACTAAGTCTAGCATGCCACACATTCACATCATTTTCATAAGAGTTGGAAGATGTAAATAGGGAATAACAAACGTTTACATCACCACAGTCAACATCTAGTACAATAAAACCATTGAGAAAGTATCCACAATCATAGTAATTCGTATTCAAATGCAAATCAACACCACTATTATGGAAGTTCAAATTAAAATCAAGTTTAACCAACACCAACACGGACACTAAATTTCGACGAATCTCCGGAGCATATAATACGTCATGTAGGAACAATGTGCGTCCACCACGCATCATCAACTGGCAGGTGCCAATTCCTTTAACTTCAGCTTTGGAGTTGTTCCCTACATAGATCCATTTCGTTCCGGTCGGAACCCGTCGAAACTCCACGAAGGCATCTCTGTCCTTCGCTACATGGTCTGTTGCTCCCGAATCTACAGTCCATAAAGGATTAGACCCAGTTAAAAATACAGAACTTGACACATAGGCAAAGTTCTCAAGAATGCAAGGGGAGTTTACTTTCTTTGGCTCACCGCAATCGCGAGCGAAGTGGCCCTTCTTGCTACAGTTGTAGCATTTCACCCTCGACATCTTCTTAACAAAAGAACGCTTTCCTTTATCTTGTTGATTAAATTTTGATTTCTTACCCGAAGAACTTGCTCCCTTGCCTTTCCACTTCATAAACCTTTCGACGCGCTTGCGCTTGGAGCTCGAAGCCCCATGTGAGCTAGAACCAGCATAATAGATGTCAGTTTCTGGTTTCGCCGCCAGGAGGTGATTCTCTTCTAACTCAAGATGGCGCATGGCATCTTCAAAGGTCTTGATGTTCTCATTATGGGTCAGGTGCACCTTCATGTGCTCCCAGCTTTGAGGCAAGGAACGGATCACTGCTTGCACTTGCTGTTCATCAGTCAAAATGTGTCCAGCATCCTTCAGCTCAATGATCATGTTCGACATCTTTCTCAGGTGTTGTTTCATGGACTTACCATGAGGCTTCTTATACGAGTCAAACCTTATAGTGAACTGTCTCAGCTTGGTCACCGACGTATGACCAAATCTCGCTGCTAATGCTTCCCACATTTCCTTGGCATTCTCAAAACGCCTGAACTCTCGCATGATATCATTCTCCATGCTACTCAGCAACGTGATGCGAGCAAGCGAGTTCTTCCTCTTCCATACAGCAAATGCATCTCTGTCTCTCTTATGCTGTGCAGTGTTCCCATCCTCAGGTTCTTCCATAATTTGGTTAAGAGCTTCTAGTGCTTCTTGTTCTTCTAGCACATATTAGATTTTCATGTTCCATATTTCATAATTCTCGCCGTTCAATTTCTCTCCTTTGTTCAACGCAGCTATTATGTTCTTAGTTGCTGAAGTCATTGAATCTGAACATATCAGACAGACAAGCACGAATTATTAATGCCACTTATTTATGCATCAATTTTACACAAACTGATTATATTAATGAATAATTTCAGTTAGGTTTTAGATTCGAAAGTTCACTATGTTCCCAATCATCATCTAAAATCCTAATGTGAAATTATCGTTAACATAATCATTAAGGTAAAATTACGTTCTTTAAAGTTACTAAAACTTTTAGAACTCCCACTCAACCACATGATTTTAATAAGACAGATATTATGATAGAATAATACCATAAACTATTCACAATAAAAGAATATTCATCAACATTCATTCACTAAGAACTATTTACATAAGGAACGAATCTAGCATAGAAAAGAAACATGAACACCAACATGAACAGTACTATCCACCTAGGATATCTAAAAACGAACTAAAATAAAATAAAATTAACTGCTTATCAATTTCCTATACACAGGGAAAGATTCATCAAAGTTCTTGGAAAAATCAATCTTCTTCTTTGGCAACCAATAAAAGACTGTCGGGTATCCCTTAGGCTTTCTCCATGGCGCATTCATTCTTCGCCAAGTTGAATTCATTCCTAGGGTCGAAATCTTTGTTGCCTCAATCCTATAATATTCTCTCACAAAATCCATTACAAGCTTTTTGTAGGCTGGGACCACGTTGACCTTCCATAGTTGATGCAACACCTTTTTCCATTCAGATGGAAGAGTGTTGATCAAAACATTCATCTTTACAAAGTTCGGCATACAATAACTGTTCCAAATGATTTTCTGTATCATCTCATTAACCTTGACCACGTGATCCTCCAAATTGCCATTTTCCCATCGATAGTTATCTAATTCAGCTCTCAACTCTGCAAGTTTTGCCTTCTGTTCAGGCGTCCTAGCCATAATGAGGGTTTTACATCTTCGTACCATCGTTCCTGCAACAAATGCAGAAAAAACTTAAAGGATTACTTTTTAATCCATGATACAATATTGCAAGAAACACATTCTGCCCCCTTTCAGCACCATTTTTTTTTTTCGGTGGTCAACGCCGGTCAACGGTGGTCAACGTCGGTCAACGGTAGTCAATGCCGGTCAACGGTCAATGAATGACCGGGTCAGGTCAACGGGTCAGCAGGGTCGGGTCACGGGTCAGAAACCGGGTCTGATCGGACCAAACCGATCACATCCGGGCCGGGCCCTTCGGCCCAAAAAATATAACCGGCGTGGGCGACGTCAATGTGACGTCAGCCACGCCCACACGTGCACGCATGGCGCGTGCGGCGCACATGCGCGGCGGTAACCACTGCGCACGTGTAACGCACGTGCCGGCGTAGCCGCCGCTTGCGGTGGCGCGTGGAGGCGCATCCGACCTCCCCCGGCGGCGTGCCACCCGTCATTTTGCTCGTCTCAACGAGCACTACGACCCTATGCCTTCAAAAATAAAATTTATCGCATGGAATTTCGAGAAACGATCCCGAACAGTACGGTCGGGTGTCGGTTTTCATACCCGAGCGTTCGTCGGCGCCGTTTCACGAATTCCGGCCATCAATCCGTGTTATAAGCATTTTAAACGATCAGGAAATAAGAACACATGCTCTGATACCAATGTTGAGAAACACAATCTCGAAAACACATTCTAAAACGGAAACTCGAACTATCGAATAACACCGAAAACATATCCGGAAACGTGCCCCATCGAAAAAAAAAACTTGAATCACCGATCGTCTAAAGTACATCACCAAGAAGGACGTACCTTGTTTTTCACGGATTAAAATGCTCCAATTGCAACACCGAGAGAGTACGATTCTTCGATCGTCGAACGAGAGCCCTTTTTTCTTTTTGAGTGAGAGAGTTTCTAATTTTCTCTTAGAATGAACACGCTCCAATTGACAGAATGTACGTAACATGTCTGCCTCACAAATAACTACCTCACAAATAACTGCCTTGGCGGTTATTTCTCTCTCGTGGGCTCTTTCAAGATTAATGGGCTGGGTTTGGCCCAACGTGGGCGGCCCAATGATCACAAAACCCATCAGTGGTGAAACGTGAATTTAATTAGATAGTTGGGGAATTCGTGGATTGTTTATGTAGAAGGGGAGTTAGGTTTAATCGTGAAATCGGTTATGTATGTTGGTGTTGTATGCTTGTTTCCCTACGAACTTGGGATACGTTCCGTTAGAATCACATTAGTAGTCATAAGTCCAAAATTCAGGAGTTGGATTTATACATGTTCTCCCTCCCTCCGTCTCTCTGATGCAGCCAACAAAATCAAACAACCTGACCTTTGTTCAATTATTGATGTTCTACTTGAATAATTAGTCCTATCAATTAGGATTTCTGTACTATTAGGATTCAATAAATTTCCTTTAGCATTTGGAATAGGATAAATCACATCCTCTACAACTAAGCAAATTGTATGTAGCTGCTGGTATTCCCTCTTCTACAACATATTTTAATGCCCACCTCATGTGGAATTGACAACGCTGACTGGACTGCAAGTGCAGTGAAGCACATGTGCGCCTGACTGGAAGGACCTAGGGAAGTGAACCTGTATCTCTTAATGAAGCAGCTCTTTAAAGAGCCTTGACCAACTTGAAAAATCAATGGATTATGATGGATATCCATCAACAGATGCAGAAGTACATTCCTTTAACTTATAGCTGAGTAAAAGAGATGGCTTGGGAAACGATGTTTAGCTAGTTAGATATTTGTCAAGTTTGAATCATGAAACCCAAGTAGGCCCCCATGACTTTGTGATTTTTTGCAAACACATGCTCTTGAAATAACCTTGTAAACACAAGCACACTTGGAACACTACCCTCTTTAAATGTAACTACTCATCTAATTATCTTGCAAATTGCTTTCATTTCCCATGCCCAGCAGACGATGCACTAATTAAAATGATTTCAAACCAAATGAACTGAAGAATGCTCATCTTTATTAGGTTCACTCAGGTCCAAACTTTCTGTCAAGCCATCGGAACCTGTAACATCCAATGCCTGTTCTTTTTAACTTGCAAGGCCACAAATTCACAGGCTTTTATAGAATCTTAATATGCTAAGGGCCATTCCCAAAGTGCACTTACCCTGTACGGAAATCTTTGACCTAATAAATGGGAAAAAGAATGAGCGGTAGATCTCCTATGCATTTATTGGAAATAGGCTAAACATGGCATTGTCCTGATCCTCCATATATTGACCATAGTCGTCCAAGATAGAGAAACAGTTAAAATGCTGTGACATATGGAGATCCTTCTTACAAGTCCACATCAAGATCCCTTTATAAGTGCCACTATGCATGGATGTAGATCCAGAGACCACTGATTGAATTCCTGAGACTCCAATTTCTTGAGAACATGCAGTGGCATTTCTCATAGTCAGCTAATTCGTGAAGCCGCAAAGAGAGGTTATCCCTCTCACAAGTTACAAAATGCGGAGGGAGAGGAGAGCAAGATAATTTATAGGGTATACAGTGATTGCACTTATTAAGGACCTCGGTCTCGTTTCTGTTAACTTTTTTCTTCAATCATGCTATGTTAGATATTGAATATCATGCCTCGTAAATGACTTTTCTATAGGGGTCACCACTCCAATGAAATTATTTTGAAGCAAGATCCTCTCCTCCCAACTTACTATACAAGCATCATTATGGTTGCAGGAACCAGGAAGGCCAAACGACATCATGCCCATAGCAAAAATCCAATCCTCAAGAACAGCATAATTTACGGGAAAGTACAGTAGACGGTATGGGCCATACTTAAATGAACTCACCTTTAATCGTAATTCGGCACTAGTAACCTCTAGGTCCCTCACAGGATCAACCGAGTCATCAACATGTATAATATCAGGATCTTCAAAGGCACCTAAAACAACAGTAAAGTTTTGCAGACATCTCAGAAAAGAGAAAAACCCCAGAAATAAACAAATATGCATAGAGCTCTTCCCCAACTAAAGTTACAGTCATTGCGGTGCTGAACATGATGATGACAAATCGACAGAGAAATCCGAAATGGATAGTCACTCTCATTTCTTCGATGCATGATTACGGCATCAAATACAATAAAAAGTTAACATGTAAAGCCAAAAGCAAAAGGTTGCTCCAACAAACTTTTGTGCTTGTTCTTTTCGGTTATCGCTTTTTAGCATTGACAAAAGTGAAAGACCAAAAGTATACTTTGAGAGTGAAAGGTGAGAGCATAAGATGCTTTTGTCAATGTTTGTACTATTTCTGGTAATAACTTCAAACAGAACATTTTCAAGATCGAGAACTTCTAAAAACGAAATCTAATGAGTCTAAGATTAAGCCAAAAGCTAAAAGCTACAACTAGAACTGAAAAACCATAGCCATCCAACCAAGCTTTAAATTGTTTCGCCATATCATCTAGGAAAACGGAGCAAAAGCCCTCTCGACTTCTGATATATCACACAAACGTCAAACACAACTCTAGATGAACAGATCTAAACGAAATTGGACAATAATAAGGAGATGGCCATGGCCAAGAGACGATAAAGTCAGATCATTTTGTGCTTTTCCACATTAATTTTGCATTCAATTATTTCTACTGAAGTATCCCGATCATCGAGAACAAAACTAACTGCAAAGTAGTACAAGTGATGTAAGAATCATAATCCAACAACACGTAGTCATGTTCTAAAGAACAAAGATGATGGCAACAAAAGTTCAAGAGTCTTACGAAGAACATGAAAAATCACATCGACTGCACGGATGTGGGAAAGAAAACTATTGCCCAAGCCTAGACCTTGATGAGCACCTCTGACTAGCCCAGCTATATCATGGATTTCTAGGAAAGCTGGGACCTGCATAAAATTACAGTTAAAAATCATTTTCAAAAGTCTACAATTTTAATCTCTCATAGTTATCGAAAAAGATATTGATCCCTAGCCAAATGGGCAGAGAAGAGGATTGCTGGAAACACGATTTCTTGATCGCACACAAGCACAAATTAAGAATCAGAGTTGAGAATCTCAAATAGTGATTTTTAACAGTCATTAATCCCACAAAGGGGACATACCAGTCATCAATAATCCTCCCACAGAAACTATAGTCACAAAATTCTTCAGATTTGAATACAAGTTTGGCATCACTTGTAACCACTCCCCTAACCCCATGCCAAGTGCAAAAGGCCTCGCGATGCTCTAAGTAAATTCACTAACTCCCTGTGAAACACATCTCTCACATAAATGCATATACGGATGAGCTACCGACGCATCTGCAACAATTATGATGCAGTAAATAATAATTATATTGAAAATGGTCATCGATGTTTGCATGGTACATATGTAGCGTGCTGGTGCTGTCTCACGAGGCGATCTTAGTCGTTTATAAATAGCTTGAGAGAAACAGTTTAATAATGAAAGGTCACTGATGTACTTCTCATCCGGGAGATGCTGATCTGATCTCTGGCAATAACCAGAATCCTCATTGAACTGATAGTGAAACAGCCAACTTTTCACCCAGAGCTGCATCTCATCGGCCAGATATGCCTTAAGAGCCAAGTACATGAGAAACAGGTTTTGTTTATCTTCTCTCTTTTGTTCAGATAGGACAGAGCAAGTATACATCCTCACCCAAGTTCCAAAGCAATAAATCTTAGCACAACACCAGTTCCAGTTGAATGCCAAAAGGTTTCGTCCTTCCACAAACTCTTGAAAAAAAAATTCGAGATTCCCTATGCTTTCCAGGCAAGCCAAAAATGTTCTCACTTCTTTACTGGAAAAACATCAGTAGCAACTCACTTGGGCCATCTTATCTAGCCATTCTACTTTATAGTTCCCGAAGATCTACTGAGTCAAACCCCGTAACTACATTCTTATCTAGCCATGATGCTTTATTTGGGTGAGAGACTCCACCTCCCATCCTCCATCAAGTACGTATGTCAAATTGAACAAGATTCTCCAGGGGTTTTTAGCACAAAAAGTTCATCTGACATTCTCCGTGTCATTAAATCAGCAAGAACCACGTTTGTCAAATATGTACTAAAAGAATTGATAGCATCCTCTTAATCAGACCGAGTCTGCTCACAGTCCCCTTCTGAGGGCATTGTAACTTCTCTTCTAACATTTCCGGTTAAACTTAAGCATCAAACTGCTTGGAAACAAAGTGGAATACATCTCCATTGGAAAAGGGATCCGGTTGATACAATTGCCATATGTTGATGCTGGATGATGGTATTATCGGCAAATAAGACGTGCAAAAGCTGTAATTGTTTGGCAGTGTCAAACCGTTTGTAGTCTCGAAGTTGAAGCGATGAATTAATTGGCTTGTGGATTCAAGAATGTTCCCACAGTTATAAGTTGCCAGGTGTACAGATCTAAAGTGCTCTCCACACAGAATCGTTTGTCAAAGATGGTCATGGTATGCCATTCTCCTACCAATAGAATGCCACATCTTTCATTAGTTCACCACTCTTTAAATATTCTTGCGCACATCCAGGCTTCCGACAGCACCGCTTTGACCCAATAAGAGTACAGGGAACCTTTCACTAATATTACTAGAACTACTGAACGGCAGCTTCACTAAGTTGAAAACAGATGCATGAAAACAACACTATATCAGATGACCAAAGAAAGAAAACCCATGGACCACCCATCAAGAGTACAACAATAATAATTTGTAAGTATCACCATCACATTATAAAAAGTCTGACCAAGAAGCGCACAAAGCAAAGTGTGTGCGAAGTGACTTGTGTCACGGCCCGAAGAATTGGATCATTCCTGAGGTTTTCTGGACGATGGACCGTGACCGACCCTTGGACGAGAAGGCGGGCCCCGGGTGTTCTAGTACTAGAGTTTTCTTGATGTCTTCTAGAATACTCCTGGGGGCGGGTGATACGGTAATTGTACCCTCCCGTAATAAATGCGGTAGGTGGGGTAGTTGGGGGAGTACGATCTCGACCGTTGAGATCAGGGAGAGATCTACGGATACGGTCAGCCCGATACTTGTATATAATGGGGTCTCCTCCCCTCATTTTATCATCTCTCATTTTCAAGAAGCAATACAAAGTTCAGAGCTTCTCTCTCTAAAGTCCTTGTGAGTGTGAGTGTGGGAAGGCTTACTTGGGGAGAAATTCCTAAGGCCGCACGGGTGTGGAAACGCTAGATCGATCGACCCGTGACACTTGCCTCACTTTTTGGTTTGAACAAATTGCAAAGCCATTCAAACCGCTCATCTGGGATATTCAGTCGGGCCTCATTTGGCTCAATGGTGCAAAAGGGGAAACTCTGTGCCGGTATAGCTAATTTTGTGAGGACATTAAAGAGCGTTGATTTGCCAACATTTGGTAATCCAACCTGATTATAAAACAGCAAAGTAATTCGGCATGACAAGTAATAAAACCCCTAAAATTCATAAAGACGGTAGAGTGCAAGAACAAGAGCAACAAGAGTCAAACAATCATACCAGTATCTAGACTGCAAAATATAACCTCAGGTCCTCAACATCTAAACATTTGTACATCGCATATAAGTATACATAAATATAGATAGTCTTCTACACTTCCGGAGATTCCGAGCTCAATTTGCTTACACAGTTAAAGGGGGATCAAGTCCACAAAAGATAATATCAGCATGTGGATACACAGATCACTTGATCAAGTCGATGACTGAAATTCGAATGTTGCATTCAGGTGTTCATCTTTAATTCTTTTCGCTCCATGCTGTACAATCTCGTAAAATAATCCATCCAACGGTTCTATAAGGTAATCCAATCAGGTAGAACACTTATGTCACATCTTTTATTTCAGAAGCATTAATCATTTAGAAATTAATCGGGGCTACCATTCGACTAGAAAAGAAGCATACTAAAAAAAGGCTTGGTAAAAAGGAAAGGGGGAGGTGGGCGAGGGGAGGAGTTTTCCGTGAAGATAATGGCGAGCAGTCCTCCCCGCACCTTTCCAACCTTCTTGAAACAAAACAAGAACGGAGAACCATCGATAACTTGCGGCTGCAGTGCAAAAGTCGGCACGAAAAAGTAACGAAACAAATGCTTATCAACACAGAGGGAACAGCAGCTCGCCAGAAACGACAACTTTTCATATCCTTAAATCCATGAACCGCGAGTACATAACAGGAAAAGAACGAAGATTACGCAATCGTAAGCCGACAGAACAACAGAAGAACAAAAGAACCGAGCAAAAGCAAGAACGAAGAGATCCTCCGGCAAACCGGATCACGGAGAAATCACATGCAACGGGCAACCTCTCAGCTACAAACGAACCGCGAATCTCCGATCAACACAACATCGAAGAACGCAATGAAGAGGGAAGAGGAGGGAGGGAGGAGAAGGCGTACGATTCCAATCTTGAGATGAGACGAGAACCGGCCGAGGATCGGGCTCTCCGCCGGCGTTTCCTTCGATTTCGAGGCTTTCGGCGGCATTTCCGGTCAGGCAGCGGAGCTCCGGGAGCGCGAGAGGGAGGAAGAGCGAGAGAGAGTTCTCGAAGGTTTTACGAGAGAGGCGGGAAGAGAGAGAGTTCTCGAAGGTTTTACGAGAGAGGCGGGAAATATTCATGGACCATTTTCCCTTTCAAAGGAGATTTAAGCAGCACTTGAACTGTTTTACCATACTGCCAAACGAATTGAAACTACCCATTTTACTCAAAAAATGATTTTCACGAAATACATTCTTTTATCGTGAATTTTTTCGCGAAATAAACATAATCAAGCACGCTCTTTTCTATTGTTAGATCCAGCATTATAATTATTCATTCAATATGATTTGTAAATCCAGCGAACTAAAGACAATTAAAAATAAATTTGCTTGTACCAATATGTGAGCACATCTACCGCTTATGTTATTTTACACTCGAAAAAATTAGAGTATAATTGATTGAATTTTTCATTATGATTGTCTTTTTTTCGAATTCTCCAAAATTCGACGATCAAAGAACGATCAAGTTTCACAAATGCAGGGCTAATTCCAAAAAGAAGCACAAACTATAGGTCGAGTGACAATTCTAGCCTCAATTTTTTTATCTCATAAAAAAGCACCAACTTTAGATCGAGTGACAATTCTAACTCCAACTTTTTTGGTCTCGTAAAATATCATCGACTTTTACCCTTATCTCAAATCTGGCCCCCCGTCGACTCTCTGTCTAAAGTCACCCTTGTTTGAGAAAAATGGTATGGTCGTGAGCTTGGCGGATCTCCTCCATAGCGTCTATCGACGGGTGGTGGTCTATAGCTTCAGATTACGATAAAATGACGTAATTTGGCCAGAGAGATTCAATCTTTAGATCTTTTTGACTTGTCCGTGAAGTGAATGAGATGAACAATTTCACTGTTATTCTACGAGCTGTGGCTCGGAGAAGAAGACAATGAATAGTGCTTTAAATATAGTCAGTAAGCCACGTTGATTTATTACAGAGGTGGAATAGTTAAGTCAGATAGTCAATGATTCTAAGTCAAATGGAGCCAGATTTGAGATTTAAGTGAAAGTTAGTGATTTTTTACGAGATAAATAAAAGTTGGGGCTGGAATTGTCACTCGACATAAAGTTTGTGCATTTTTACAAGACAAAAAAAAGTTAGAACCAGAATTGTCACTTGACCTAAAATTGATATATATATATATATATATATATATATATATATATATATATGGAATTAGGCCCACAAACTCATGTCGTTCAAATCATCAAAGATTTATCTAGATACTCCATTGAGTAAGATTAGACATGTCCATAAAAGTTCGCATATTCATTCTAGAGTAGATAAATTCAAGAAACAATGAGCGTGACAAATTTACATCAAATTTTGAATATAAAGGAAAAGAATTGTTCATTTGATCGCAATGCTCGTAGTAAGAAGAGTTATTCCTTTTCTTTGGAAAGAGTGAACCATTCATTGAACTTTGATTTTGAACTCGCAAGCCAAATATTAAAAGAAAAAAATTCACGTGAAAATAATTTTTACGCATGGCTGTTTAGATCCTCCGCGTAATCTATATCATGTAATTTTTTGAGTTTTAAAGTATAAAGTTCAAGTCTTATAGGTATATAAATTTAAAAGATTGAAGTTTCAAAGAAAAATACCGAAAAAAAATGAAGAATAGATTAAACTGTATTTTTCTAATATCCAAAGTAACTTGACCAAAAAAAAAATATCCAAAGTAAAAATTTCAAGAAAACATAAAAACAATGGGCCTTCCCACCATTGGGCCAATGCAGTCGATGGTGTCATCTTGGACAGGGTCATGGAAAGTGACACGGGGCGCACGTTTGCAAGGACTTGATTGATGTGTAGAAATCTTAATTGTTGCCTTATGTCTTTACCAAATAACGAGAATGAAAGAAGAGTTGTAAAAAAAAATACCAGCATTGTAAATTTCAATAAATACATGAAAAGAACAATAAATAATTAATCAAACTACATTACACTGGTCGAACTTAATTCTCTTACCGAGAAATTTTAAGATCATAAAACTCAAACAACTTTATGGAGGCGATATATCGATGAAAGATCTTGTATGAACGAAAAATGATACACTAGGAACGTGTTATGGAAAATGACACAAATGATTAATGAACTTTAGCCCAATGTGCAATATGGTCACTGAACTTTTAATTTGTTCAATATAATCCATGACTTTCAGCCCAATGTGCAATGTAGTTCCCAGACCATATAATCCATAGACTAGATCGAACCTATGGATATTACAATCTAAGGACTAAATTGAATATTTATCAAAAGTTGAAGGACTATATTGAACAAATTAAAAGTCCAAGGATCACATTATACATCAGGCTAAAGTTCAAGAACTGTATTTAGCAAATTAAAAGTTCAAGGACGATATTGCATATGAGGTAAAGTTCATGAACCATTTGTGTAATTATCCCAACGTGTTATAACCATGTTAAGTAATGAAATATGAAATTTTCACCATTTAGAGTCGTTAAGTACGTATGATAATTTTAAATGGTTATTTTATTCTTTCAACGAAAAATGGTTTAATACGAATAAATTTCTTAACAATTACGTGGTAAAATCTAACAACGACATTCATAATTTTAGATGTAGCATTTGGTTTTCCATCTATATTATTAATAAAGGGAACTTCTTAAATTAGCATCGGTGTCCACTCCGGATTTACTAAAGTACCATCGGCATTTTTATGATTACTAATAAGGATAAAGTCTAAAGTGGAAATTTTTTTTGGTCGGAGAAATGGTAATTGTAATGTACAAGAATGGGAAATTTCTTTGATGGTGGGTAGTTTTTTGGTTGTTTAGTAGTTACTCTGATTGAAACCAAAGTCTAAACACTCAAAGTGCCATATTTGACTCTCTTTTGCCAAAAAAAAAAAATTATTAAAAGCGCTTGTATGACAAATGATCTTTTAAGGAAAAATTTCAAATAAGGATTCAAAGTGGACCCGTTTTCTCAAAAGAGCACCTGAAGTGAACATTATCTTGAATAAGGGTCTCAAGTGGTCAATTAAATCTCAAATAAGGACCTAATCTCACCAACTAGGCAAATCTTGTTCACATCCAAGGACATTCTCGTCCAAATACCTGTTTTTCTTTCTTCTTTCTCTTGTTTTCTTTTTTTTTCTATCTTTCTTCATCTTCCTTAACCGTCCTTCGCTCTAATTGCGATGATCATAAACACAATGATTGAGAAAACTAAACTAAATGCAAACTAAAAAATGAATTCTCTCTCCCTTATATCTTTCTCTTTCCAAAAAGAAATGGAAAAAAAAAAAGAAAAAAAAAAAAAAAAACCACAAAAACCCCCCTCCCAAAAGCCCTACCAAATAAATTAAAAAAATTATGATTGAGGAAAAGAATAAAAAAAAAATAAAAGGGACGCATCAGCCAGGTTCCGTCCCGTTTCCGCCCAAAAAAAAAATAAAAAAAAAAAATAAAAAAAAAGAAAGAAAAAAAAAAAAAGAAAAATTAATAATTTTAAGATGGGAAAGAAAAATTCTTTAATTTTTTTAAAATATTTAAAAAAAATAATTAAAAAAAAAAAAAAATTTTTTTTATATAATATAAAAAATTAAGTAAAAGCAAAAAATTAAAAAGAACAGTTAAATAAGTAGAAAAAGTGGAAAAGGTATTGAAAATTAAAGAAAAATTACAAAAATTTGGGGCCAATTTATTTATAAATTAGAAGTGTCAAATTATTTCCTACCTATTAAAAATAAATTAAAACCAAATTATTGGCAAATTTTATAAAGTTTAAAAAGAAAAAAATTAAATAAAAGAAATTTTTGGAAATGTGTAAATATTTTTTATTTTTTGTATTCACATATTCTCTCAACCCTACTATTATTCTTCTTTTTCCTCCAACAAGAGATGGAAAGATAAGAAACAAACCCACTGCATAAGTGATGGGAATTACAGACAAGACCACACTGCATGAAGGTGAGAAACCCAATAAAAAGTGCAGGATGCTGACCAGAAAAACCAACATTGGAATACATCGAGAAGTCGTGAGGAGCCCAGACCTCGTTGCGAGAGGGAGGCAGGGGAAACATAGCCGAAAGCCCCCTTCAAATGGCAAAGAGGTACGGCCGAGAAAACGAGACGATCAATCTCGACCAGGTAGAGCATCTCTTACCGGCAACCAAGGAGGAATCGGTCTAGGGCACAAAGGAGAGGTTGACATGGGATGGGAGAAATTTAGGGTTTAAAAGGTGCTAATGCATCTAGGGTTTTAAAGGTTGGATGGATGGGTGAAGCTACCCAAAAGGAATTTGGTGTTCTGTTTTGAGTATTTTCAAGGCCGAAGAGGAATCCAAGTCCGTATCGACCGTTGTTAGTCTTATTGAGCTTCGGAGTTTATATGCTCCCTCCCCATTGTAGGTACTTCATCGAACATGATTCAAAGGAAAATTTGGCTTCTTTCAAATTACTCCTTAGACAAAATATTAATTTTTAATTTGGCCAAATTCTTTTAAAGTACTCCTTTGACAAAATCTAGAAGTTTAGTTTGATCCAAAAGAAATCCAAATGGGAATGAAGAGTTTGTGGGCCTCGGAAGTGTAAGAGCCCAAGAAATTCACCGAACAAACCCCACTTGACATGCAGTCTCGGAGACAAAGTCTCAAGTTTTAACTCAATGGGAATAAGAAAGTAATAAATAGTAAAATGAATTCAACGAGAATAAGGAAGTGACTCTATCTATAATTACACGTAAAGTCGACTCCAGTCTATCGTGCACGATAAGTAATGGGATATATTTACAAACAAACAAAGAATCTATTGGATAAATATGGGGAGAAGAATTGGCATAAACTATTTGCAGTATAATATACGGTAATACTCAGAAAAAAAAAAAAGAAGAAAGAAGAAGAAGATCGGACGATCTAGTCGAATTAAGTAGAATTGGTTCCCGACGAATTCGAATCTTGTACAATATGAAATCGGTTATGTTCGGTAAGGGTAAAACGATCGTTATACGTGATGAAAATGAATCGATAATATTTTATCATTTTTTAAGTGATATTTCTTTTGCCAATTTTA